ATTCCAGGCGGAGGTGACTTTTGAGCGTGTGGCTGTGCTCCTCTCCCGGGAGGATTGGGCCCACCTGGGCCCTGCTCAGAGGGGCCTCTACAGGGATGTGATGCTGGAGAACTACAGGAACTTGATCTCAGTGGGTAAGGCCCCTCGCTGGGACTCAGTCCTGGGAACAGCCCTGGGGACTGAGAGCTCATCAGGGGCTTGCCTGGGGCCCCAACCTGGGGCCCGGAGGTGGACAACATCGACACTGGTCCCAGGCAGGCCTGTTCGGGGAAGTGGAGGACATGGGTGGTGCAGGGACCCTCTGAGCTCCCGGAGGAAGCGGACCTGTGCTGCAGGCCTGGTGCACACTGCTCTCCAGCAGGAACTCACACCTTCAGTGGAGACAGCCCTGAGCTCTTGCTCCCTGTGCTAGTACCTCCATCTTCATGACCATCCTAGCCCATTCACAGCCTCCTCCAGAGGGCATCCTGGTTCCCATCAGCCCCTGCCTGTGCTTCCCTTCCCCACAGCCCCAGGTGAGACATCACTGGGTGCAGCCACACACCAAGGTCCTTGGAACCAACCTCAGGCCTGTCTCTCCCAGGCGTAGGACCTGCAAGTCCCAAGCCTGGAGTGAGGGGATGAACCATGGGTCCTGGGTGAACAAGGACCTGAGCCTGAAGAAACCCGTGACTGTGTCAGGGAGTCAGAAGAGAGTCTGGACAAGTCGGTTGGGCAGAGTCCCTAGGTTGGTCACTGACCAACAAGGAGAGTGGCCAGAGGTCTGGAGAAAGCCTCATGTAGGGGTCAAGCCTTCTCCTTGACCAGAGACCTCAGAAATGTGATATACATGAACAAAGTTTTGAACAGAGATCATACCTCAACAACCATAAACGTGTACACAGGTCAAAAGCAACAAATATAGTTCACGATTCTGGTGAAATCTTCAGTGCAAACTTACTGGTAAAAAATTAGAAAATTACTACAGGGGAAAAGATTGCACTATTGTGTTTGCCGTGGGAAGACCTTCAGGCACAGTGCTAATCTTGTCAAGCATCAGCGGCTTCACAGTGAAGAAAAGCCCTACGAATGTGAGGAAGCCTTCACCTGGAGCTGTGAGTTTATCAATCACCCAAGGAGATCGATAGGGAGATCCCCTATCGATGTGATGAGTGTGGGAAGACATTCAGTCGGAAACCCAACCTCACGAAGCATCAAAGGATTCACACCAGGAGAAGCCCTACGAGTGCAGTGAGTGTGGGAAGCCTTTAGTGCCTCTTCCTGTGTTTATCACCAGAGAATTCACACTGGAGAGAAACCATCTAAATGTAGTGACCATGGAAAAGCCTTCTGTGATGGCTCAATTCTTACCCAAGATCGTTGGACTCACACTGGAGAAAGCCATTTGATCAAAACGATGTGGCAAAGGCTTTACCTAAAGTTCCAGCCTCAGCCAACATCAGAGAATTTACTCTGGGGAGAAACTCTGTCACTGTAATGAATGTGAAAAATCTTTTGGTCAAAACTCATTGCTTATTTGTTATCAGAGAACACACACAGGAGAAAAGCCCTATGACTATGAATGCAGTGAATGTCTAAAAGGCTTCATTCAGATGGCAAACCTTATTCAGCATCAAACAATTCATATTGGTGAAAAACCTTATTGCTGTGAACAGTGTGAAAAAGCCTTCAGTCAGAACTCACATCTCACTCTGCATCAGAGAACTCACACTGGAGAGACACCTTCCCAGTGTAAAGGATATGGGGAACGCTTTGGCCAGAGCTCATGGCTTACCCAGCATCAGAGAACCATCCTTGAAGTGGATTCGAGTGACGTGTGCAGTGTGACTGTGATTATACTTTTTCTGAGTGCCAAAAGAGCCGATAGAAAGTGAGTTCATGATGTGGGAAGTTGCCGTCCAGTCTGATTTTGTTCAACATCAGAGAATTCCCTTGGAGTATAATGGACTGGAAAAGTCTTTAATTTGCTCACTCCTAATTAGGTTTGTAATAACTCAATAACTTTGGGAGCAGAGTCTACTTCTGACTAAAATTTGTAAAGTGAGGGACCAGCAGTTAGTATAAAGGCTATGTCGCTGGACTCCCATATAGCTGACCGTGGTTCAAGTCCTGGACCTGGTGGCTTAAACTCACGCCGGGAGTGTGTGTGAGTGCTCCAAGATCCCAAGAGGAGAAAGGATTGCAGTGTGGTCATCCCCCTGGGGGGTGATTTCTCACTTTCTGTCTGTCTCCCTCTGTCTTTCCGGCGAGCACAGGCACCCTATAGCAAAAACCTCTCAAAAAAAAAAAAAAAAGTGTAAAGTGAATCAGTGAAACACTAGTCCTATACTCCAGACCTTGACAGTACCCTCTTGAAAACTACATGGTACCTGACATTTGAAAAGATGGGCCTTTTACTATGGTAGTTCCCCCTTATTCACAGGGTGTGTTTCAAAACCCCTAGTGATGCCTGAAACGGCAGGTCTATGTATATTACATTCTTTCAGTCTGATAACCAAGACAGCTAACAGGTAGGCAGCAGATACAGCATGGATATGCTGGACAGGGATGATTTATTTCTCAGATGGGATGGAATGGGACAGCAAGAGTCTTCCTCATAACTACTAATAATGGCATACAGTTTAATACATATAAAGTGTTAATTTCTGAAACTTTTCACATAATATTTTTGAACTATGGTTCACATGGGTAACTGAAACTATGGAAGTCAAAACTGGGTAAGGGGGGTTGACAGGTGCCATGCTAGTTGGGGTGCTGGACTCCCACATGGCTGACCACAGTTTGAATCCTGGACCTGGTGGCTCACTTTCTCAATCTTATTTTTTTGGTCAAAATAATGATGATAAATAAAATTAAATAAATCTTAAAAAAAAAAATCCTGGGAACCAGCAGTTAGCGTAATGGCTATGGTGCTGGACTGCCACGGAGTCGAACGCGCGTCG